CTCTAAATGAATAGGGATGAGCACAGGGGATCCCTTGATATGATCATGGTGTGAGTGTGTGAATGTGAATATGAATGCAATTTTATTACGGTCGCACCTCGATGTGAGGTTGCCTACGAATCCGTTAGGAATCAGGCCGAACGTAGCTCTAGCCGAACCTCACACAAGTGTGTATACCTCAAAAAGGTATTTTTAAGGGTTGTAATGTGGTTAGGCTAAAGGTTATAAAAGGAGGGGATAAAGGCTCAAGACCCTAGATAAGCCCCCAAGGTGTGCAACCTTGCTTTTGAATCTTTATATCTTTATGCTTGAGGCTTTTGACTCTTTTTTAGCTCTCTTTTTTTGCTTTAGCATCTATTTTATTTTTATAAGTGTGGGAAATCTCGATCATGCGGTCTATCACTCACTTGTCATTCATGTTTCTCAGGCACGATACCGAGCACTCGATAAGAGACGCAATCTGAGACGTGTTCATATCAAAGACATGTTCATGTCAAAGACATTGGAACACTTGCCCTTTTCTACACTTTTATTATTATTTTTTTGATTATTTTTTGCTATTTTAATCTTTTGAAGTCACTCAAGTTTTTTTTTTTTTAAAAAAAAATGCATAAGTTACACACCATCCCATCCCAAGGTTAGGTAATATAGGTTGAAAAAAGAATGGTCTATCGTTAGATGAGGCTCAAAGTTGTGTATTAAGAAAGGATTGCATATTTGAAGGGTGAAAGATGATATGATGTGGCTACAAGCGGTGCCTCAAATCATTGGTATACCTTGTGCTTAATTCGACATGGATTTTTTTTTTAATTTTTTTTTATATAATGCAATGCAATGATCATATGCAAGGAAGTAAATGCTCATTTTATTTAAAAAGTGAAGGGTAAAAACGAAGTCTAAGAAATAAATTCAAGGAGGATGAAGGGTGCCTATGCTAGACTTATTGGGGAAAAGGTTTGAAAAAAAAGAAGAAGAAAGCATGAAATCTTGGTGAGAAGCTTGCCTTGTGCATTTGTTTCATCATTACCCTCAATTTTTTTTTTTTTTTTTTTTTGTTAATCACATGACTCAAACTCGATTCAAAATGCATGGATGGAAGAAGGTAGGAAGAATAAAGGATGTGATATGGAGAAATCATGTAGAAAATGGAAAGATGATGTAGATGGAGAGATCGATATGAAAAAATTAGGAATAGAATGTACCCCCAACTCAAATGACGGAAAACGACTCATGCATGAACCTAATACATGGTCATGGTGACATATACAAAGTGTGTACTAAGACTAATGAGTGTAGTGACATGTTAAGACTCGTTTCATGACCATGTGGCTAGACTATGTGGCTAGACTCAAGCAAAGACTAAGTTAAGACTTCACGTATATGCATTAAACTGGACAGGATGTGGTATTTTAGTCATAACTTTTGATCTGTAACTTTGATTGGGATGAAACCAACGCCAAATTAAAGATAAACCTTGGGTCTACATATCCATAGGTTGTACGACTCGTAGTTCTTACTATAACTCCGGCTATGACCTAAACAGGTTGACGCTTGTGCAGTACACGGGAATAAAAATCCAGGTTGACTTAAAGGAACTATGACTCGATTTTATGTTTATTTATTAGCTCAAATTAATTAATTAATTAATTAATTAATTAAATAAATTCCTTTAGTCATTAATTAGTTTATTTAGTCTTAACACAAGTCAAACAAACGGTTAGGAAAAATCACATAGAGTATGCACAACAGATAATGCACAATTAGTCAAGTAGGCACAATATGATGCAATGAGTTTGCAACCTAACCATGGCTCTAGTTCTCTAAAGTTCTAGATATGGGTTAGTCAATAGAGGGTCCATGGTTAATTGTCCGGATGAACCGCGCGGAAGCCTAACCGTGAAGGGTTGGCGCGAGTGGATGGGACACCGCGAGTTAAGAAAAACTCGCTTCCATGGTTTGGTGAATTCAACATTCTCGGATGTACCCTTTGTTGCACAGAGCGTTCAATCAGGTAGATGGAGCATGAATTCCCAGGGGGTTATGTCCATATGTAGAACACATATGGGTTTCATAAAAGTGAGAAAAACTCAATCAGGAAGTAGGATCGAGCAAACAATGCTAAAAACTAGTCGAAATTAGAACGCATATTTCTGGCTCGGCATAGGAAGAACTTGGCGCCAGCAAACAGAGGTCGGCGTCACAATTTGGCTTTAGCGCCTGGCGACAGAAGCTGTCGCCTGGCGCTAAAGTCAAATAAGTGGCGCTAGACTTTGTTTCCTGACGCTAGTTCCTACATGCCTCAGCAGCTTTCTGTGCTCGTTAAATTTTTCAAGTTTCGTGCAGCATTATTTCGATCCTAGTTGTGAAAGATATTCCTCAAATTTCCTACGTGTAAAAATACTATGTTTTTAACTCATTACGGATGGTATTTCCAATGAGATCTTTTTTATGCATATGACAATAATGTTAATCAAAATTACGCACATGAAATACTTAGAACTTTTCGAGTCTCATCCACTCATTCTAAATAATTGCCGAAATAAATTTCAGGAATTAAAATAGAAATCCTCCCCAGTAGAGTCGCCAAAAAACTTTAGGGAATATTTCAAGCATTATCCCTAGCTTGAACCCCACTGTGATCATACACTCAAGTACGGTGGCGTCCAAAGGGAAAGAAGATAGAGCAAAAGAGTCGCCAACAAGTTTTTTAGGAACTTGTAAACCTTTCACGAGGTGAAGGTTACACCCCTTAACGATCCAAGAGATCGTCAACTCCAATAGTTCTTGAACCATGACTCGTAGTTCGGGGATGAGGGTACAAATCCAACTCAAAAGAGAATGAACTTGCCCTAATAATAGGCTTCTATTTTATTCTGATCGTATTCATGTGTGTTTTCTTACTAACATGCAATCAATAGAATTAACCCTAAACATGTTTATCTATGTTGGTTGAATATTAATGCACAAATAAAACTATTATTGGCGATCACTTGAACTATAATCAAATTAACCCTAAACAAGATTATTAATTATCTTATATAAGCGTGATTACAAGTACAAATTCCCTTTAAACATGCATAAAAGGTGTGATCAAGCAATAAAAATAAATATCAAGCAACAAAATAATAATAATAAATTATAACAATTATAATCATAATCATGAATATTAATCAAAACTATAATCATCATAATAAATATAAAATAATCATAATCATATCAACGCTAAAGCATAATAATAGCAAGATCCTAGGCATGATACTAACAAAATTAATAACAAACCCTAGCATGTCACTAAGCAATAAAAAAAAAATCAAAGCTTCGACCCTAACATGATACTAACATGAATATTAGGAACAACATAAAAGGCATCATACTTTTAATCATACTTGATATTAAAGTTACCCTAGACATGATACTAGAAATTTATTGTTGTCACCCTAAACATCAAATTAAGGAAAACATCCTAACATGATACTAGGAATCATAATAAAAACCTAAACATGATTTCTACATCATAATATCAATAAATCAATTAAAGCACTTACTTAGATGTCTCGTATCTCTTTCTAATAACAAAATATACACGTCAGTAACTTCAAGGAAAATAATAATCAACAATTAAATTAAATAATTGAAAGAGAGATTTGGGACCAAACCCTCAGAAATTAAAACCTTTCACGTTTAGGGCAAAGGCAACTTCGAAATTGGCTAGGTGTATCTAGTGCTAATGTATGAGGAATTGTGTTTGTAAAAGGGTTGGTTTAGAAAGAGAGAGAGAATCAAGAAATTCTTGATGAGAGTTGGTGATTGAAAACGGAGTTTTTAGAAGGCTATTTATAGAGAAAACCAACCAAAAAGATAAAAAATCAAAACAGAGTTCTGACGCGTAAAACCGAGGTTAGCGCCAGACGCTGACATTAGTGCCAGACGCTAACGCTAGCGCCAGGCGCCAAGCTTAGCGTCAGGCGCTAATGCTGGCGTTTTGCGCTGACTAAAATATTGACGCGTTTTTTAAAATCAGATAGAAATTGCCGTAGAGGAGGATAAAATCGTATTTTCCTCAAAAACATTCTTTTGCTCTGATTAAAACTCTAAAAAGTCAACAAAAGTCAATTTATCAATGCTAATTGAATTAGGAATGAAAAGAACCTTTTAGAGGAATCTAGAAGACTAAAACCATTCCTAATTGCATTAGGAATGATAAATCCATATTAGGCCCCCCTCTAGATCATTGGGCCGCATATAAGGCTCAAAACGGGCACAATTCAGTAATTTGGCCATAACTTCCTCAATATTCATCGAAATTGGGCTTATAATATATCGTTGAAAAGCACTTTTCAAGCCCTATCCAAATACACTACTATTGGACCCATATCATGGACCAAAAAAACTGGATTGGATGTTTTCTTAAAATAGGTTTTTAAAAACAGAGAGAAGAGAAAAGAAATTAAAACTATCCGCAACACTAAACTTTCCACACTTTCACTTCATTCGATTATGATTCGATGTGAAAGATACTCATCACTGGGTTTGGTTTTGTGAAGACAAAAATGGGTGTCTACATTACCAGTCTGGGTAGTTGACGCTTTATACACCTGTGTCTAGGTCTCATGCTCCCTTCCTAAAAGGTAGCAGGGGTTCTGGTGCTCAGGTTTGGTTCTGGTTTCCAGGGTGAACCCTTCCTAGTAGGTGGCAACTTGGGATTCTAGAACCTAGGAGGTAGTTCACATATATATATATATATATGCGAACTACCTCCAATTAGGATCATGTGCGAACTACCTCCAATAATGCGAACTGAGAACTAATCCGAGCTGTCCATCGCGTTAGATCTGACGGTCTACACTTCACCCGCCTCATTAAGGTCAAAATCGTAAATTCGCGCTTTGAATTACCAGCTTCAATTTTCATTTTTACTTTCTCTCTCTTCATTTCATTTTCTCTCTCTTCCTCTAAATTCACTCTAGTTCTCTCTTTTCCTTTAAATTATTAAAGCTCTTATCGTCGGTTGATTTGCCGTTCTTTTTTGCTTTTTTTCATTGCAAATTGATACTGCATAAGTAAAGTTATTTGATTGTTCTGTTCTTGTGTTTAATTCAAGTGTTGTAATTTGTTTATTTTTTTTTTATGATTTCGAGTCTTAAATTAGGGTTTTTTGATATTTTCAGTTTGAGCAATTTGCTATTTTGGTTATTTTTGGTGAGATTTTGTTGCGATTTTCAAGTCTAAGGTAGAGAATTGTATTTACATTTTATTGTCAGTTTTCTGTAACTAGGTTTTCGGTTGAAATAATAGAAATCAATCTGATTTTTGTTGGATTTGTTCGACTTAGTTTTGTTCATTTAGTTGGTGTTTTGATATGAATTGATTTTAGGGAAAGTTCTACCTATGTTGTTACTCTGTACATATTAAAGTATGCATATACAACTTTCTAATGAGATTTCACATAGCATTGTAAGTTCTAACTCATGGCAAGTTTAATCACTAGAATGAAGTCTCCATTAATGGGTAGTCCTGTTCCGGCAGAAATGGAAGACCTGGTTGTGCTTACAGAAACTTGAGATGAATGCAGCCTCTGATGAAGCTGTCTAGCCTTCTTGCGATTGTTTGTCCAAGATAGAGGATATAATTTCAACTTATTGTACTATGTTTTTGGTTGAAACTATAGGAATCAATATTTTTTTTTTTTTTGGTATTTTCTCAATTTATAGTTTTATGGTATGTATTTACTTATAATATTAGAACCTTTACTTTGCATTATGTATGTGTGTATTGGTATTTGGTAATGTGGGAGCGGAGTGAAGGTTTAGCGTATAATTTTGGAAAAAGTGGTTACATAGCTGTAATATGTTGGTTTATAGCTCTGATGTGCTTATTATAGGACTAGCTTGTTTCTGATATGATTTGTTATTTTCAAAAATTTGGTATATGACTAGCTTTTTCTTGTATGATTTTGGCCATTGTTGTCTCTTTATAGATAACTATATTCAAACATTTGCTATATGACAAGCTCTTAGTGTTGTGGGAATATGGTGGAGCATTTTGTTGTGTTGTATTGATATATGTCGTATCTATATTGCACACAGGTTTGGTTTGTATATGGATTACAACACTTCAGTCGATCCTTAATTTCTCAAAGTCAATGCAGTTAATTTTGTTGCTCTATTGTAGTTTCCTAGTTTATATGGTCATGGTTTTAATGGGTTTAGATTTGTTGATCAGTTAGTCAACTCTTGTACATGCCAATTCTTGCTCATTGTTCACGAGTCCCTCCTTCACTTTGAGTATGTCTTAAAGAGAGGCATGGCAAAATCAAGTGTACCTGACAACGGATTATCTTGAGCGGCTTTGATATATTTTTCATAGTTGTTTGGGGGTATGTTTTCTTATATATTCTTCAATTTGAGTTTTTATAAACGACTTATTTTTGCATTGTATATATGTGTTATAAGTGCAATAAGAATATTAAAATGATGGAAAGTTGCTTGTTGTCCTCGTTTAAAGTACTTCATATAGTTCTGTTTCCAATAATTGCATATATACTATAGACCTTTTTTTATTACCTTTTTTTATTTTTTTTATTTACTTCTAAGTAATTTTTCTTTACTTTGATGATACAGTAGCCTACTAGCTCAATGGGTAGAGTATTGTGAAATTGCACAAAATATGTGGGTTCGAATCCCACGTAGGTTATTTTATGATATGAATTATTTCTTATTTCATGAGTTTTAGATCAACGAGTTTAATTGATTGTACCTTAAATGGAATTCAACTATGATGATCAAATGGTTTAATTTTACTTAATTGAATTAGTGACATCTATGCTTGGCTCTAGTATGAGTATTATATTGTATAGGGCTGTCAACTCTTGCTTGACAAAATTTTATTTGCATAAAGGATAGCTAATAAGAAATTCTTTATGTTTCTTCTTATATTTTTTTTTTCAGACCTTGATGTCTCGAAAGAAGAGATGAGTATTATATACCAAATTACTGAAAATCAAGGTACTAGTATACAAACAATCTTGTTAATTTTGTACACATTTTTGGGCTTTCTCTTGTCAGGTCTTATTAATATCTGCTTGTAAAAGTTGAAGGCCTCAAAAGTAAAACAATCAACCCACCACACCTCCAAATAAAAAAAAATAACAAACGCGGAAAGGAAAATGATTAACACATTAGACACTCACTTTGAAGGCTTTTTAGGTACAAAATAGAGTAGTACAGGTTTAGTGACAATGCACTTGTAAGATTAACACAAGAACCTCACAATATATTTTGAGACCTTCCTTTACACCTTTAGCTGTGATATTTATTTGTGTAGTTAGCATCCCATGATCCTTTCTCACTTGAACCTGGATCACTCAATTGCCTCTCTCAGCTCTCTGAAACCTCCAATGCTTCTAAATTGGATATTTGCTAATGTTGTCTTCTTCTTTTCTTTTCTTTTTTTTTTCTTGTGCTAATGTTGTCTTAGCTCATTTTATTATTGTCAACTTTATACACTAACCTACTAGCTCAACAGGTAGAGCATTTGTGCAAATCGCAAAAGATGTGGGATCGAACCTCACGTAGGTTCATTTGTATTTACTTTAAGAATATTTTATTTACTTCAACTTACTTTATATCTACTTTTATTACTAAGAAAATGAAGCTCACTTATCCAAATATTAAGATATGACAGAAGTTTTTATAATCTTCTACTACATATTTAAGTATTCATAGCAATAATTACAAATTGTCAATAAGCATTTCTTCATAACAATTTCCTAATTTTAGAAATAGAAAAGATGAATTTCATTTCTATTTACTTTAATAAATGTTTTATTTACTTTAACTTATTTTGTATCTACTTTTATTACTAGAAAGTCAAGCTCGCTTATCTAAGGATTAAAGATATAAGCATGTTGGTAAACTAATACTTTTAAGTTAATATTACTTACGTTTGAGCTATTATGATTTACTTTTGAGATATATACTTTTGATTTCTTTTCGAGCTATTTTAAATTACTTTAGAGATTTTTTTAATTACTTTTAATTTCTTTATTTACATATTTACATATAAGATAGTTTGATTTACATTATGGGTTTTTTTGTTTACTTTTGAATGTTATGTAGACAATTTTTCTACCTGGAAAATACCTTTTGAATGCATCATTCATTTGTGATATTAGAGAAGGTGAGATTGTTGGAAGTTGTAATAGAGCTTAGTTTTCAACATGTAGCTTATTTACTGGTATATATACTTCTATTCTTTTAATATTTACTTTTATTTATTTTGATTTACTTTTGACGTATTTTGAATAGCTTTAGAGTGTTTTATATTTATAGCAAAACCTATGTAGGAATCGAACCTACACTTTTATGCATCCGCACAGCGCTCTACCACTTGAGCTGATAGGTTTACTTTAAAGTATTTTTAATTTGTTTAATATTAGATTTAATTTACTTTTAATTTTATGATCTAATGTAGGAATCTACTGGATTTCTATTCCCGTATACTGCACAAGATTAATAACAAACCCTCGATTATTAATTTCAAGCATTACTCCAAACTTGAACCCCACAGTGATCATACACTAAAGTACGGTGGCGTCCAAATGGAAGAATGCTAGAGAAAAAGAGTCGCCAAAAAGTTTTAGAAACTTGTAAACCGTTCATGAGGTGAAGGTTACACCCCTTAACGATCCAGGAGATCGTCAACTCCAATAGGTCTGGAACCATGACTGGTAGTTCGGGGATGAAGGTACAAATCCAACCTAAAAGAGATTGAACCTGCCCTAATAATAGGCCTCTACTTTATTCTGATCGTACTCATGTGCGCTTTCTGACTAACATGCAATCATTAGGTTTATCCTAAACCTGTTTATCTATGTTGGTTGAATATTAATGCACATATAAATCTATTATTGCCGATCATTTGAATTATAATCATATTAACCCTAAACAAGATTATTAATTATCTTATTAAGCGTGATTACAAGTACAAATTCCCTTTAAACATGCATAAAAGGTGTGATCAAGCAATAACAATAAATATATATCAAGGAACATAATATAACAATAATAATAATCAAAATTATAATCATCATAGCAATAAATATCATATCAATAATAATCATCATTAAAATAATCATGTTAAAGCATTATAATAGCAAGATCCTAGGCATGATACTAACAAGATTAATAACAAACCCTAACATGTCACTAAACATAAAAATCAAAGCTTTAACACTAACATGATACTAACATGAACATTGTAGACACCCATTTGTGTCTCCCCAAAACCAAATCCGGTGATGAGTACCTTTCGCGTCGAATCATAATCGAATGAAGTGAAAGTATGGAAAGTCTAGTGTTGCGGATAGTTTTAATTTCATTTCTCTTCTCTCTGTTTTCGAAAACCTATTTTAAGAAAACAACCAATCCAGTTTGGTTTGGTCCATAGCAAGGGTCTAATAATGGTGTAGTTGGATGGAACTTGAAAAGAGCTTTCCAACGATATATTATAAGCCCAATTCCGATGAATAATGAGGAAGTTATGGCTAAAATTACTAAAATGGGCCCGGTTTTATACTTATATGCGGCCCAATGATCTAGAGGAGGGCCTAATATGGATTTATCATTCCTAATGCAATTAGAATTGATTTTAGCCTTCTAGATTCTTCTAGATGGTTCTTTTCATTCCTAATTCAATTAGCATTGATAAATTGACTTTGGTTGACTTTTTAGAGTTTTAATCAGAATAAAAGAGTGTTTTTAAGGAAAATACAATTTTGCCCTTCTATACGGCTAAATTTTATCAGAAATAAGAAAACGCATGAAAATAACTGTTAGCGCCTAACGACAGGGATTAACGCCTAGCGCTAATGTTTAGCGTCTGGCGCTAACCTGTTTTATCCTCGTCGAAACTCTGATTTGTTTTTCTATCCGTTTGGCTGATTTTCTCTATAAATAGCCTCCTAAAACCTCCATTTTCAATCATCAATTTCCATCAATTCTCATCCAAAATCATCAACTCTCTAGTTTTCTAATTCTCTTCTCTCTCTAAGCTAAAGCTTCTTCTCTCTCTTTTCTAAACCAACCCTTTTGCATACAAAATTTTGCATTCACAAGACCAAGAAGCACCTAGCATAATTCGAAATTGCCTTCACCCTAGACATGAAAGGTTTTAATTTCTGAGGGTTTTGTCCCAAATCTCTCTTTCAATTATTTAATTTAATTGCTTGATTTTATTATTTTCTTTGAAATTATTAACGTGTGTATTTTGTTATTAGAAAGAGGTACGAGACATCCAAGTAAGTGCTTTAATTGATTTATTGTTATTTATAATTTAAAAATCATGTCTAGGTTGTTATTATAATTCCTAATGTCATGTTAGGGCGTTTTGATCTTCCTAGAATCATGTTTAGGGTAACAACTATAATTTCTATTATCAAATATGACAATTATGATTCCTGAGATGTTTCCTATATTCTTTCCTAATATTCATGTTAGTATCATGTTAGGGTTAAGTATTTGATCTTTATTGCTTAGTGACATGTTAGGGTTTGTTATTAATCTTGTTAGTATCATGCTTAGGATCTTGCTATTATTATGCTTTAACATGATTATTAATATTGATTAATTATTATTATGATTTATTATGTTGCTTTATATATTATTGTTATTGCTTAATCACACCTTTTATGCATGTTTAAAGGGAATTGGTACTTGTAATCACGCTTAATAAGATAATTAATAATCTTGTTTAGAGTTAATTTGATTATAATTCAAGTGATCGCCAATAATAGTTTTGTTTGTGCATTAGTATTCAACCAACATAGATAAACAAGTTTAGGGATAATCCTATTGATTGCTTGTTAGTCAAAAAGCGCAAATGAATACGATCAGAATAAAGTAGAGGCCTATTATTAGGGCAGGTTCAATCTCTTTTAGGTTGGATTTGTACCTTCATCCCTGAACTACCAGTCATGGTTCCAGACCTGTTGGAGTTGACGATCTCCTGGATCGTTAAGGGGTATAACCTTCACCTCGTGAACGGTTTACAAGTTCCTAAAACTTGTTGGCAACTCTTTTGCTCTATGTTCTTTCCCTTTGGACGCCACCGTACTTTACTGTATGATCACAATGGGGTTCTAGTTAGGGTAATTCTTGAAATATTCCCTACAAATATTAGGAAAGAAAATAGGAAGCATCGAAGGAATCATAATTGATTTATATTTGATATTAGAAATTATAGTTGTTGCCCTAAACATGGTACTAGGAAGATCAAAACATCCTAAACATGACAGTAGGAATAATAATAACAATCTAGACATGATTTCTATATCATAACATCAACAAATCAATTAAAGAACTTACTTGGATGCCTCGTATCTCTTTCTAAAAACAAAATACACGCGTTAGTAACTTCAAGGAAAATAATAAACTTAAACAATTAAATTAAATATTTGAAATAGAAATTTGGGACCAAACCCTCAGATTTCAAACCCTTTCACGTCTAGGGCGAAGGAAACTTTGAATTTCGCTAGGTGTTTCTTGGTCTGGTGAATGCGGAATTTTGTATCCAAAAGGCTAGTTTAGAAAAGAGAGAGAGAGAATAATAAAAAAATCTTTGATGAGATTTGGTGATAGAGAGAATTGATGGGAAGAATTGATGAGAAGAATTGATGATTCAAAACGGTGGTTTGAGGAGGTTATTTATAGAGAAAATCAACCGGATATAATAAAAAACGAAACAGAGTTTCAAAAATAATAAAACAACGTGGCGCCAAACGCTGGACTTTAGCGCCAGACGCTAAGCATGGCGCCAGGCGCAGGTCCTATCGTCCGACGCTGGAGACAAATTTCCACACGTTTTCTTAATTTGATAAAATTTAGCCGTACGAGAGGGCAAAATCGTATTTTCCTTAAAAACACTTCTTTTATTCTGATTAAAACTCTAAAAAGTTAACTAAAGTCAATTTATCAATGCTAATTAAATTAGGAATGAGAAGAACCTT